CAACCACCAAGCTGACATAAAAACTTTTACTCATACCAGTACTCATAACGTTTTTAATGTGTTACATTTTAACAAGTTACCTTTAAGCATGTTACATTTTAAAAGATTACAATTTTACATGTTACATTTTTACATGTTACATTTTAATATGTTACATTTTAACACGTTACATTTAAGCATGTTACATTTTAAAATGTTACATTTTAACACGTTACATTTTAACATGTTACATTTTAACTTCTTATATTTCCACATGTTACATTTTTACATGTTACATTTTAACATGTTTTACGATCAAGTCATTCCCTTGCAACTGACCTGGTAGCCTCGTCTAGTATGAGGATGGATGGGATTTTCAGTAGAGCGCTAAGAGCACTTGTAGCGGCGATAGCTATCCTCTGTTTCTGGCCCCCAGACACGGTAACTCCTCTCTCCCCCAGAATGGTACTGTAGCCATCAGGGAACTTTCGGATAAAACTGTCAGCATTGGCCAGCCCAGCAGCCACGTACACCTGTGACAAAGATTAATTAAATTAGTAATACCAAACTAGTGACAGGTAATACAAACAAAGTAACATAGAATCAAACCAGCTACCTTCTGATTACAGCAGTACTATAATCACTCAACCACCAAGCTGACATAAAAACTTTTACTCATACTCGTCGTCGTCGTCGTCGTCGTTTACATTTTTTACATTTTTACATTTTACATATTTACATGTTACATTTTAACATTTTTTATGATCAAGTCTTTCCCTTGCAACTGACCTGGTAGCCTCGTCTAGTATGAGGATGGATGGGATTTTCAGTAGAGCGCGGGCGATAGCTATCCTCTGTTTCTGGCCCCCAGACACGGTAACTCCTCTCTCCCCCAGAATGGTACTGTAGCCATCAGGGAACTGTCGGATAAAACTGTCAGCATTGGCCAGCCCAGCAGCCTCGTACACCTGTGACAAAGATTAATTAAATTAGTAATACCAAACTAGTGACGGGTAATACAAACAAAGTAACATAGAATCAAACCAGCTACCTTCTGATTACAGCAGTACTATAATCACTCAACCACCAAGCTGACATAAAAACTTTTACTCATACCAGTACTCATAACGTTTTTAATATGTTACATTTTAACAAGTTACCTTTAAGCATGTTACATTTTAAAAGGTTACAATTTTACATGTTACATTTTTACATGTTACATTTTAATATGTTACATTTTAACACGTTACATTTAAGCATGTTACATTTTAAAATGTTACATTTTAACACGTTACATTTTAACATGTTACATTTTAACTTCTTATATTTCCACATGTTACATTTTTACATGTTACATTTTAACATGTTTTACGATCAAGTCATTCCCTTGCAACTGACCTGGTAGCCTCGTCTACTATGAGGATGGATGGGATTTTCAGTAGAGCGCGGGCGATAGCTATCCTCTGTTTCTGGCCCCCAGACACGGTAACTCCTCTCTCCCCCAGAATGGTACTGTAGCCATCAGGGAACTGTCGGATAAAACTGTCAGCATTGGCCAGCCCAGCAGCCTCGTACACCTGTGACAAAGATTAATTAAATTAGTAATACCAAACTAGTGACAGGTAATACAAACAAAGTAACATAGAATCAAACCAGCTACCTTCTAATTACAAGGCGAGTACAGCAGTACTATAATCACTCAACCACCAAGCTGACATAAAAACTTTTACTCATACCAGTACTCATAACGTTTTTAATGTGTTACATTTTAACAAGTTACCTTTAAGCATGTTACATTTTAAAAGGTTACAATTTTACATGTTACATTTTTACATGTTACATTTTAATATGTTACATTTTAACACGTTACATTTAAGCATGTTACATTTTAAAATGTTACATTTTAACACGTTACATTTTAACATGTTACATTTTAACTTCTTATATTTCCACATGTTACATTTTTACATGTTACATTTTAACATGTTTTACAATCAAGTCATTCCCTTGCAACTGACCTGGTAGCCTCGTCTAGTATGAGGATGGATGGGATTTTCAGTAGAGCGCGGGCGATAGCTATCCTCTGTTTCTGGCCCCCAGACACGGTAACTCCTCTCTCCCCCAGAATGGTACTGTAGCCATCAGGGAACTGTCGGATAAAACTGTCAGCATTGGCCAGCCCAGCAGCCTCGTACACCTGAGACAAAGATTAATTAAATTAGTAATACCAAACTAGTGACAGGTAATACAAACAAAGTAACATAGAATCAAACCAGCTACCTTCTAATTACAAGGCGAGTACAGCAGTACTATAATCACTCAACCACCAAGCTGACATAAAAACTTTTACTCATACCAGTACTCATAACGTTTTTAATGTGTTACATTTTAACAAGTTACCTTTAAGCATGTTACATTTTAAAAGGTTACAATTTTACATGTTACATTTTTACATGTTACATTTTAATATGTTACATTTTAACACGTTACATTTAAGCATGTTACATTTTAAAATGTTACATTTTAACACGTTACATTTTAACATGTTACATTTTAACTTCTTATATTTCCACATGTTACATTTTTACATGTTACATTTTAACATGTTTTACGATCAAGTCATTCCCTTGCAACTGACCTGGTCGTCGTCGTCGTCGTTGTCGTCGTCGTCGTCGTCGTCGTCGTCGTCTACATTTTTACATTTTACATATTTACATGTTACATTTTAACATTTTAACAGAAATGATAGAAGTGTACAAATCTTACAAACTGTTGTGGGACACTTCTCAAGCTTTATATTTAAGCCTACACTTGAAAAAACTTCCAAAAAACTACTTTTTACATTCTAATAATGACGTTCTCCAACAAAGAAAAGCAACACACTGAGCTCAGATCGAGCGCAGAGAACAAGTCATGTAAATACAACGCTCTGTTGACCAGGTGGGAGATCACTGACAGGGCGGTCGGGACAAGGAACAGGAACGGGTCGTGTAAACGGGGCTAAAAGCAGAGTGGGAATGCCGTTCCCACACTGCTGTTTGTTGGTTGCATCCCGTAGACAATTTGGTTATGATTACATTTTTTTATAGTAGAAATTACAGCTGTAGTATTTTGTTAAAAATTATTGTAGACCTCTGATGTAAAAATTATTTTAAATTAGCATTTATCGCTGTACTATAAGCAATGTTGTACTCTTGCTCAATGCTCATGCACCAGCAAACATTCATTTATTTACCTAAAAAAATATTGCTGTATTAAAATCACTTGTTTTGTGTGTACAGTAAGCCTACACTGTAATGAGTTCAGATTACAATATTTAGATTTTGCGCATCTTGGACCAAAGTTTTGCCTTCTCAAGAACTACAATGGATGTTTATATTGAATCAAACCTGTTGTAAAATTGATATTGTATAATTATGATTCAACTGTCAATCATCTTGTAAAAAACTCAAAACCAAACTAAGGATTTATTTTTAGATAATCACAACTAACTATACGGAAGACCTCCACTCATTCAGATACGTTTGGATCGAACTTTAATATTTTCAGAAGTCACAGGCTATGCATGACTCGTACACTTGCGAATACATTAAGCTTTATCCATTTACACAGCAAACAAAAGCACTTAAACAAACAAGTCATTACCTGTTTGGTACATACGGATGCCATCGCTGTATTCCTTCATTTACTAGTACAGCACTGTAGTCGACTTGTTTTGAACCTATAATATGAGGCTTTGAAGCATATCCATTTATTTGTGTTAACTTCTGAAAGTACAGAGGTTCTAGTATAGAGAAGGGTCTGATTGAGTTGGAGTTTACTCTAGTTTAAAATTTCTAAGTAATATTTAAGAAATCAAGGCTGTAGCCTATAAATAACAATGTCATAACAGTATAATGCATTTGGTTATTGTATGATTCATTCACTAAAAGATGCACCCCTTGCATGCAGTTTTAAGCTCACTTTTTAACTGTAAAACTTTAGAATTTAAGCTTGGATCTCTCAAGAATGTAATAATGCCTGAACTTAATTTAAAGATAACTAACCTGAAAACAGTATTATTTTAACATTGTAACGAAGTATATAAATAAAAGTATGGAATTAGAAAGCGCAAACTGGAGTTAATGGTTGATTCCCTCTTCCATTTCACTATTGTGTCTCTTGCTAAACCCTCAATGTAGTACATAAAACTACAAACGCCCTACAAACTACAAGTTTTATAAAATTTTTCTCAGCCACATTACTTTTGCCTTGCATATTCTATAGGCTATTTTTAAAACCTTTTTATTAGCTTGCTTTCTTGTCCGGTACAAATTTTGCAATAAATTTTATACTAACTTCCTGATGAGCTAGAGACTTGAAACATAGCTCACAAATGGAAGACAATGCAATATTATATAATTTAATTTTCATATTTCCCTTGGGCTACGCCCCATGGGCTTGTTTTTATTAACTCGCTTTCTTGCAAATGTTGATACTTCCCGATGAGCTAGAGACTTGAAACATAGCTCACAAATGGAAGACAATGCAATATTATATCATTTAATTTTAACATTTCCCTTGGGCTACGCCCCATGGGCTTGTTTTATTAGCTAGCTTTCCTACAAATTTTGATATCAATTTCAAATGGAGTTCCTGATGAGCTAGAGCCTTGAAATTTGAAACGTGAATCACAAATGGATGACAATGCAATACTATATCATTTAATTTTCATATTTCCCTTGGGCTATGCACAATTCTAAACAAAATAATGCAACCCCCCATTGCTGTAACAATTACGGTTCAAAAGTTATAGCAACTATTCTGATTTTTTCCTACGAAATTATCATAGTTACTCCCACTGCTTACCCATGATAAAGGTTGTTGACAAGCTTATGGGAGAAAGTATGTGTTAGATTGCTGATACCGTTTATTTTTTTGTGTTAAGGGTATCCTCAAATTTAGGGGTAGGAGTGATGGAAGGTGATGGATCGCAAAAGTTATTGTTATACAAACAAAACAGGTTGAATGAAATTCCAAAATTAAATGCATGGCTTGTTTTATTAAGATATTGGTATACACTTGTTTAAAATAAAGTAATAAATGTAGTATATGATGAAATAAATTGTACATTGAATTATATCAGAATATTTTTTTTGCAAATGAACAAATTGGTTCCGAACTGATCACCATTAACTTGTGATAGAAATATTTTGAGTGTTAAATATCATTACGATCTACACAATAATTTAATTTTTTGTTCAGATCAATCTTCATCAAATGAATACAGTATAGTGTCCTCTAACCTACTTAAGTCTTAAGAATTTTCAAATCAATGAATAAATTAATTAGATATTTGCAAGAACAAGTCCTCATCTGCCTGAAAGTCTTTTGGTGCAGTGACAGAATACCAAACAATGTATTGTTTTAAGATCTCAGTACACAAATTATGAAAATATCTAAAACAAATGCCTAAAATAATTTAATAAATTATACTAACAATAATTGTGCACCGTTGCGATTTGTGCTTAGTGGGTTCTTAAATAAGTATTTGTGATAAGACACATAATACCTTTGGGTTGAATTTCAACAAACATATGCTTTAAACCTAGTATAAAAAGGTTCTAGTTAAATTGTTAACACAAAAGTAATTTGAATAAAATTTAGAGTTTAAGAATCATCAGATTTAAAACATTAATTTAATATATAAAAAAATACAATAATTATGCTCCTTTCACAGTATACGTTTATTCTGTTCAGTTGGTAAATTTTGACTTTCTTCCCCTATCAAAGAGATGGAGAAAGTATTGTTTTCGTCAAAATTTTCTTTTAGGTGATCCATTTTTTGTCCAGCCAAACCTAGTGGTTTTTGAAGTGATGCGGGGATGTGTACAGACCGGTGTGGTGGTACAATATTCACAAAATTTTGTATGAAGGCACTAAATCTAAGGTATCTCCATTTACATTTTTTGAAATTCTAATATTTAATGGTGATTTTTTTGCAAAACCCCATAAAATAACGGAAAACGGATTTACACAAAAGCGCTAACAAATTCACCCCCTAATGCTGTAATAAGTTCGGTTCATAAGTATTGCAATTGAAGTGGCTACCCATAAAATATCATAGTTACTTCCATCACTTACCCGTGATAAAGGTTTTTAACAACCTATTGGGAGAAAGTATGTGTCAGTTTGCTTAACGTTTATTTTAGTAGTGTAAAGAAATGCATGACAGCTTTAACATTAAACAGTTCCGGCGATGGTATAGAAATTGTCTTGCAGCCGTCCACTGCCACTGAACCGGACGGTTGACATGCAAGCCTTTACATTTGACAGCTGGGAGCCGGCTAGCCATTGTCAATTGGACACTGTTTAGGTGGATCATAATTTGAAAATTAGTGTAAAAATGTTGTTGTCATTCATGATATTTTGATATCGTTAGCAATGTTTAATACAGACGTTGAAGTATTAATCAAACTAAAAATCCAAACCAGTATTTTCAAAAAAATAAACTCGGCCATAAGCTGTTTACAACGGTTCATTGCAAATACATTTATCTCGAGGGAGAAAACTGTATATTGTGAAAGGAGCATTAGGTAAAAGATTTGTAAACCTGTTTCAGCACATTTTGGTGAATGAGAATAATACAAGATGTCACAGTCTGTGAATTTTACAATATCAAACAGGTCAACTAAAAACTTGGAGAATTAACTAACAGGAGTGGTGAATAGCATTTCATCTAAATAACATTAACCATAATTTTCTCATGTTCGTTGTTGACTTGTTTACTAGCATATATACACAACCGACACTAACCTACCATGACTTTTGTACAAAGATACATTTCCAGTCAGTAACGGCAAATCACACAGTAGGTTACACAATTAAACAATTAAATATCGAGGGCAAAAGCCACGGACAAAAATAGATAGCAAAATATATGTATATTGTATAAACTTAAGATATATTAAGTTAAATAATTATGTAATAGCAATATTCCCCTGGATACATATATGAACAATTATTGTGCAAACAAACACAAGCTTAATAAACATAAATGAAAAAAGATAGATGCCTCATTTGGAAACATCCAGTTAGTCTCCGACTTAAATCTGGTCCCGTAAGACAGATAATGGCAGGATAGTAATTCTGAGTAGCAAAATATAATAGCTGGTGCTCTAGTTCTGACTTTTTAAACATATTCTGGGCATCCTACTGGTTCTAACATACTGTTGGTGTTATTGTCACTTTATACTATCTAGAGGTTCCCAGAACGTATCATAAAGCACATGGAATAGTTTTCAGTACATATCTCAATCCTCTTCAAGAGACGAAAATGGGAGAAATATTCACTATAGAAAATATCAAAGCTTTTCTATAATTTATTGCAAAACTTATTTTCTTTCTTTTTGTTTTGTTTCTTTAGCACTAAAATGGTGCTATATTATAAGATGTATTTTTTGACAATCAATCTTTTCACTCCTTAAGACTTACAGCCAATTTATTTGTTATACTGGGTTTGAGCAACAAAACACCAATATTTGTAGGTTTTGGTTTTAGTTAGGATATTTGTGTTAACAATTTTTTTTACTAAAGAGGTATCAAAGACAATTAAACACGTGACTAGATTTAGAATTAGACTTGGAGTAACCTAAGGGTAACCTTTACAAACCTCTCAGTAGGAAACCATGGTCTTCAAAAATTTGGGAACCTCTGCACAAAATCTGTTGAGCCCAGTGTAGGTTAATTGACCCCTATCGGTGGTTTAATTTCACTAAAAACTAACTCATTCCCGTAACCTAACTTAACCTAAGACAACAAATCCCAGCCATTGTAGAAGCTACACCGTGGTGAGGTTTACGGCACTTGGAAAAAGGAACTTGACTTTTCTGAAAAAAAATAGGACAGGTTAATACTTGTATTTCCTAATGGTAATAATGTGCACCAATTCAATGATAGTAATTATCTGTTTTATATACATTTCACTTAACTCAGCCAGACTATGTCAGAACACAATTCAATTTAATTTTGCAACGGGATTTTTTCTAACTAGAAATTATATCAAGTTTCACTCTGACGAAAGTTGAATTGCTGTGCTATTGGTGATGTTAGCAGCAAGGACCATAATGTTAAAAATTCTAGCTGTAATTTTGCGAGGGCCATCAAGGCTAAATTTGTCACCATGAAAGTTAACGATGTTGCCTGAAATTTTCTCAAGTGATGATGTTGCGAATGTCAATAAAGCAAGTGATTTCTCCACAAAGAGTGGCAAGTTCGAACAGCAACACTTGAATGTCGGCAAAATTTGCAATGTAAACCCTTATGGTAGAGAATATGGCTATGACAAATGTGAGCGACAGTAGTAATATGTATCCATGAACAATAAAGAAACTTTCAAAATACTAAAATGTTGCAGCAGCATTGTCTTCTGTGATTGCAGCAACATTGCCATAATCTTTCACAAATGCTGCACCAATGTCATCATCGAGCAAAATTGTGAAAATTTTCTGAGGTCACTGCAAAATCAGAGAACATCTTCTGCCATTGAAATCATTATCATAGTCTCAAAAACGAGTTGATCATCTTAGGACACTTTGCGATTTCAAAAATTTTCGCTTAGAATGGTCACAGAGAAGGTAAAAATCTTCCAAGGTCACGGCAAAATCGCAAACAATTTCCGCAGTCTCAACAAATTCGTTAACATCTACTGCGATCACAGTAAAATCAAGAAAATCATCTGCAGTCACAGCCGACATTATCATTGTCTCTGGGATCGCATAAAATCTGTCTATGGTCTCAATTAGTATGGTAATTCTATGTCTACTTCAGTATCATCCAATAGTGAATGTCTTAACTTACCTAGTGGATCATGGGCGAGTCCCATCGCTGATGGACCTCTGGAGTCAAGTTGATAATCTGAACGTGGACTGCTTGATTCTTTTCAAACTTGGGAGGGATCGGACACAAGCGATACTCCACTTCATCTCCAGGCAACGGGATGTACTCGCCCTCGATGCTGCAAAATTCAACTGTTTTACCAATTTTAAAGCAATTACAGTCAGTAGCAAGGGCGGTTCCAGAGAGGGGGCCATGGGGCCATGCCCCCCCCCCCCCCAAGAATGTAGATAAACAAACTTAAACTCCAACCATAATAATTTAATTTTAAAGTTTTTTATGTGAGTAGGCTATCAAGTACAGATGTATTCATTAGGACAAGAATAGGTAGCACAGGTTAGGCGGAGCTGGCGTTCACGCGGAAAATAGTATGGGAGTGAGAGCGCGATAGTCATCCTCGTACTCAAGTTTTGTACTAGCCTGGGCCACACACATTCGCCACAGGTGCGTGGTGCCGCCAGCTCGCAGTTAAAAACGGGTAATGTTTTTAGGCCGGCGCGTAGTACACGTCAATGACTCATCACCATCACGCCATGTGACGAGCATCGATATTAGTAGTTATATATCGATGGTGACGAGTAGCCAATAGCACTGCTAGCACTGGTAGCAGAACTGCTGTGGTAGTAGTAGCGACCAGCCGACTACAACACTGCGACTAGCGAGTCTGAACATCTATGGATGGAATTTTAATTTATGCTACGTTGTCACTAGTTGATTTTATACCCTTGCATTGTGATTGGTTATTTATGGGTTCTTCGTCAGTATTTGAGTAGTAATAATGCAGTATCGTAAGCACAACTTTAATAGATTATAGGTCTCTGTCGGTAAATTCAATGGACCATGGGCGCCATATTGAACCTAAAATTATTTCAATTTCCTAAACTAGCCGAGCCTGAAAAAAATGTTTCAAGCTGATACCTTACAAGCATTTTGTAGAGGTTTGTTTTCAACGCAATACAATTGTAATTATTGAGCTCCCATATGCATTTAAGGATATTTTTAAATTTGCCTATTAAATCTGTGTACATAACCTCAAAAAATTAACTAGGACCGCACATAGTCGTCCTAGTCTAGGACGAATATGTGCAAAGTTAGAGGTAGATAAAGAGGAATAGATTATAAAGGCCAACTTGTATAGTTTTTCATAAAGCCCAAAATCTCTTGAACACGTTGATTTACTCAATGACACAAACCAATTAATTACACGGCTTTACATTGTATAAAACTATTAGACTTCTCATCTATACAAGTAGATCAGCCAACTGTATTAGAGTGTGTTTTAGGCCTACGTGGATTTTTTGCTCGTCTATGATAAAACTAAGAGCTTGCAAAGGCACCCGAAAACCAGGGCTAGAGATATCCCCGAAAACGGGCAAATGACACTACTTGCCTATGCTAGGTAGGCTATTTAGTCGACACGAGACACTCTGGTGTGACATACAAGTACTACACCTTAGAACAAGCTTCACATTTAAACATTGGATGGGAAGTTTTTTTTTGTGTTAGCTTGTATACGGTTCAACATGCCTGATGAGTTCACCGGAACCACTACATGCGCCCTCCGTATATCCCTGCCCAAGTCTTGCATATAAACAAATTCATGCCAATACTATAACTATACACTTTTCTTGAATTGTATCAATAAACCTAACCTAAAACTAGGTTCGAGTTTGACTGTTTGCACTTTGTTGCTGAAGAAATGTTCATGAAATTCCACAATTATTCTTAATAAGGCAACAACCTCAAGTGTTACATTTTTTTAAATCTTAAAGCTAGGGTCTCAAAATAGCTTTAAAAACGCTTATTTCAGCACATAATTTTCAAACATTTCCGGGGGAGGACCCCCGGACCCCCCTGTCTGCCAGGGGGGTATTCCATACCCCCCAGACCCCCCCCCCCCCCGAAACTCAACCCTGGAACCGCCCCTGGTCAGTAGTCTCCAATATCTACTACCTAACCAGACTCTGTGACATTGGATAACACAGAACATATTAAACACCATTTGATTAACTGCCTCGATATGTAGACCAAGTCTTGGATTTAGATTTGTGAATCCACTAACAAAGTAAAAACACCACCTAAAACTCATAAAATATTTAAGGTAAAGAGGTAGGCTAGACAATAGCTTTGTATTTTGGCGCAACATCAAAATATTTATCAAAGAATTTAAGCTCAAGTTGCAATAAAGACTAACATTATGCTAAAACCTTCTGATGCGCTAATCGTCAAAGATCGTTTTTATGATTAAAAAATCATGACGGGTATCAGTCTTCAGAAATGTTTAAAACATGTCAAAAAGAACTAAGAAACATTACCACAGCAATCTAATATCCATTTGTATACTGTAGTACTAGAAATAATAAAAAATAATTTAATAATAGCCTAGGTAGGGGCCTACTAGTAAACAACATCAAACAAAAATATAACCAAATCAGGAAACGAATACTGTGTATTAGTATAAAACTATCAAAGATATGTTTAAGAGGTAGGCCTATAGAGGTGAGGAGTTGACAAACTATGTATGTATGGTATATGTGTCATCTAGCCACAGTAAAAAAAAATCAAAAGTGCAGTCAAGTGCACGTGTCAAAAGCCTGGTATTTACTCAGGTGAGGTATAGAAGAGGCTACGATGACAGCTGAGGGCTTCTTATTAGCTGAGGGAACGCCATTACCGTAACAAAACATTCGGTAGCCATCGGCCTCGGTGGTCTAATGGTTAGCGTGCCGGGCTGGTATACTGTAGGTCCCGGGTTCGAATCCCGCTAGTAGCATTAACTTTTTGTCCAAGATTTTTTTTATTATCAGCAAGTTTGGTTGTTTTGGTTTGGTTATTACAGTTTAATTTTATTATTAAGTCATTTCAAAATTTTAATTGAGCAATTTCTAGTTTTATTTAAACAGAATTATTTTTCCGATTACTAAACTTTTGTTATATTATTTCTTTATCAGCAAGTTTGGTTAGTTCGGTTAGGTTATGATAGTTTAATTTTATAATTAAAAATAGTAAAATTGAATTTGAGGCATTTATAATTTTATTTTATGAACAGAACTATTTTTGCGATTAGTAAACCTTCATTGCCAAAGTGCTCTCTACTACAGCGCTGTTCACGGAGGAATTTTGAACTAAATGCCTCATTCGTACCTCCCCTAAGTCAGACCCCAAAAGCCTGGTGTGTAGGCTATCTGTTAAATACAGACAGGGGCTGCAAACATCAGAGATTGCAAACTCAATGATTAATTAAAGGACATTTTCTAAGGAATTCTTGTGTGTCTCAGAAATAGGTTGATCAAGTAAGTGAAATTTCAGACTGAACTTGTCAACAAGTCATTGAAATAGGACAGGAATACCTTAGCAGTTTTTGTTTAGTTGTTGGTAAAGATAAAAATTTGCTTTCATTGATAGAACTATTTAAAATAGCCTATCATGATAGTGGATAAATCATATTTTATAACTGACTGGGTGATAAGGGCTTAGACCAAGGACTCAAGAACAAAACTTACTCTGAAATGTGTACAAAAACTTCATCCCCTCCGTTGTTAGGAGCGATGAATCCATGTCCCTTGGATCTACTGAAATGTTTCACTTTGCCTTTCTCTTGAGGGTTCATCAACGCTCGAGCACACCTAAAAAACACAATAAGACAACTATTGCAAGCGCAAACTTCTTATAATTATTAGTCCCAATTAATTATCCTTTTTACAACAACAGGAATAGGAGTTTTTGAGAATGTTTGATGTTTTGAAACTGAACAAAGCTATCTTTGATAAGTGATTGTTTAGTAAATTATGTTGGCTAGGCCTACTTGTCATTTAAGTTTGGGCCTATAGGCTTTTAGTTGGTTAAAGCTTATTTGCTTGGTCATCTTGGGGGGTTTTACCTTTTATCACTCAGGGACCAGACAGGCCATAGACAAAATTGATAAAGGTATTGTGGCTGCATACATTCATGATACATGATGTCTCTGTCCTAAAAATCCATCGGTTAAACCGGTTAGTAATAAGTTAGTTTTCTTATTAGCCTAATCTCCAAATGATATAAATGAGAACTATCTAACTTATTGGATATGAATCTATACAGGTTACTAATTAATATAGACTTTACACATGGCTGCACTTTAGTTTACGTCCTACATTTACTCAGATACTGCAGTTTGGTTAAGGTTAGGTTTAGTTTAGAACAGTTTCATTTTATAATCAGCTAATGTATAATCACTTGTGTGAACCTGGCAATAACTTGGCAATAAGTAGTACGCCCGCCCGCTAAAATCTATTGCTGGCCGTTTTGCGGCAAAATGCGATCGCATAACATGAAACTAATGATGTCACCAGATAGAGGACAGTTTAACGGACACAACAGTACCAATATCATGTACCTGGGGAATAAGAAAGGGGGGGTAAAGTCAGCAATAAGTAGTGGGCGCGCCCGAAAAAATCTATTGCCGGCCGTATTGCGGAAAAATACGTCCGCGAGCAATAATAACGACGATGCCAACAGATAGAGGACACTTCAACGGACACGACAGTATCAACATCATGTACCTGGGGAGTAATTTAGGGGGGGTAAAACCAGCAATAAGTAGTGGGCGCGCCCGAAAAAATCTATTCCCGAACGTATTGCGGAAAAATACGTCCGCGAGCAATAATAACGACGATGCCAACAGATAGAGGACACTTCAACGGACACGACAGTATCAACATCATGTACCTGGGGAGTAATATAAGGGGGGTAAAACCAGCAATAAGTGGTGCGCGCGCCCTTTCAAATCTATTGCTGGCCGTATTGCGGAGAAATACGTCCGCGAGCAATAATAACGACAATGCCAACAGATAGAGGACACTTCAACGGACACGACAGTATCAACTTCATGTACCTGGGGAGTAATTTAGGGGGGGTAAAACCAGCAATAAGTAGTGCGCGCTCCGGTAAAATCTATTGCTGGCCGTATTGCCGAAAAATACGTCCGCAAGCAATATTAACAATGATGCCAACAGATAGAGGACACTTCAACGGACACGACAGTATCAACATCATGTACCTGGGGAGTAATATAAGGGGGGTAAAACCAGCAATAAGTAGTAGGCGCGCCCGAAAAAATCTATTCCCGGCCGTATTGCAGAAAAATACGTTCGCGAGCAATAATAACGACGATGCCAAAAGATAGAGGACACTTCAACGGACACGACAGTATCAACATCATGTACCTGGGGAGTAATTTAGGGGGGGTAAAACCAGCAATAAGTAGTGGGCGCGCCCGAAAAAATCTATTTCCGGCCGTATTGCGGAAAAATACGTCCGCGAGCAATAATAACGACGATGCCAAAAGATAGAGGACACTTCAACGGACACGACAGTATCAACATCATGTACCTGGGGAGTAATTTAGGGGGGGTTAAACCAGCAATAAGTAGTGGGCGCGCCCAAAAAAATCTATTCCCGGCCGTATTGCGGAAAAATACGTCCGCGAGCAATAATAACGACGATGCCAACAGATAGAGGACACTTCAACGGACACGACAGTATCAACATCATGTACCTGGGGAGTAATATAAGGGGGGTAAAACCAGCAATAAGTTGTGCGCGCGCCCTTTCAAATCTATTGCTGGCCGTATTGCGGAGAAATACGTCCGCGAGCAATAATAACGACGACGCCAACAGATAGAGGACCCTTCAACGGACACGACAGTATCAACATCATGTACCTGGGGAGTAATTTAGGGGGGGGGGGGTAAAACCAGCAATAAGTAGTGCGCGCGCCCGATAAAATCTATTGCTGGCCGTATTGCCGAAAAATACGTCCGCAAGCAATATTAACAATGATGCCAACAGATAGAGGACACTTCAACGGACACGGCAGTGTCAATATCATGTACCTGGGGAGTAATATAAGGGGGGTAAAACCAGCAATAAGTAGTAAGCGCGTCCGAAAAAATCTATTCCCGGCCGTATTGCAGAAAAATACGTCCGCGAGCAATAATAACGACGATGCCAAAAGATAGAGGACACTTCAACGGACACGACAGTATCAACATCATGTACCTGGGGAGTAATTTAGGGGGGGTAAAACAGGCAATAAGTAGTGGGCGCGCCCGAAAAAAACTATTCCCGGCCGTATTGCGGAAAAATACGTCCGCGAGCAATAATAACGACGATGCCAACAGATAGAGGACACTTCAACGGACACGACAGTATCAACATCATGTACCTGGGGAGTAATATAAGGGGGGTAAAACCAGCAATAAGGTGTGCGCGCGCCCTTTCAAATCTATTGCTGGCCGTATTGCGGAGAAATACGTCCGCGAGCAATAATAACGACGACGCCAACAGATAGAGGACACTTCAACGGACACGACAGTATCAACTTCATGTACCTAGGGAGTAATTTAGGGGGGGTAAAACCAGCAATAAGTTATTGCTCACGGACATATTTTTCGGCAATACGGCCAGCAATAGATTTTATCGGGCGCGCGCACAACTTATTGCTGGTTTTACCCCCCTATATTACTCCCCAGGTACATGATGTTGATACTGTCGTGTCCGTTGAAGTGTCCTCTATCTGTTGGCATCGTCGTTATTATTGCTCGCGGACGTATTTTTCCGCAATACGGCCGGGAATAGATTTTATCGGGCGCGCGCACTACTTATTGCTGGTTTTACCCCGCTTATATTACTCCCCAGGTACATGATGTTGATACTGTCGTGTCCGTTGAAGTGTCCTCTATCCGTTGGCATCGTCGTTATTATTGCTCGCGGACGTATTTTTCCGCAATACGGCCGGGAATAGATTTTTTCGGGCGCGCAAACTACTTATTGCTGGTTTTACCCCCCCTAAATTACTCCCCAGGTACATGATGTTGATACTGTCGTGTCCGTTGAAGTGTCCTCTATCTGTTGGCATCGTCGTTATTATTGCTCGCGGACGTATTTTTCCGCAATACGGCCGGGGTTAGATTTTTTCGGGCGCGCCCACTACTTATTGCTGGTTTTACCCCCCCTAAATTACTCCCCAGGTACATGATGTTGATACTGTCGTGTCCGTTGAAGTGTCCTCTATCTGTTGGCATCGTCGTTATTATTGCTCGCGGACGTATTTTTCCGCAATACGGCCGGCAATAGATTTCTTCGGGCGCGCCCACTACTTATTGCTGACTTTACCCCCCCTTTCTTATTCCCCAGGTACATGATATTGATACTGTTGTGTCCGTTAAACTGTCCTCTATCTGGTGACATCATCGGTTTCATGTTACGCGGTCGCATTTTGCCGCAAAACGGCCAGCAATAGATTTTTTCGGGCGCGCGCACTACTTATGGCTGGAGTTATTGCCAGGTTCACACCAATTGTATTTAATAGTAAATGTAGGGCATAAGTTAAACTAATAAAGTGCAACCAAACACATTTCACACAATTTACTAAGCTACTTAACTTAGGCTTAGGCTACCTAAGTTAAATGTAGGCCTACTTAAACATTATTATCACGCGAATATCAAAAATATTACTGAAAATGTCGGTAGGCCTAGGGTAACTTTTAACTTAGTTTTAGTTTAATACAACGATGGAGTCAGATACCAAAGTATCGCCATCGCCTAAATTTTGCATTAGCCTAAGTTTATTGCTACAAATCTTTAATGGGCCTAACTTAAAAATGGGTAAAAGTTAGGCCTAGGGTACCTTAAGCTTAACTTATTAAGTACAAAAGTGCCAATTGCAAGGACTATTTCAAATTTCACTAACTTAACTTAATAATCTATAAATTAACTTAAGTTATGCATATGTTAGAAAGTAAGGAAGTAGGCCTACTCAGCTAAGGCTAACATAACTTAACTACCGTACGAGTAAATACCCTTACTAAAGCTATCAGTCACTACAGGCCAAGGTAAAGTAAATTATACAGTAGAGTTAAAAGTTTGGGGCCTAGACCTAGTAATTAAAAATTATGTAAGTTAAAGCTATTTAAGTTAGGTACAGTTATATTAACTTACATTGAGTCAGTCCTTGTTCTTCTAGTGATTATAGGACTTGGTACGCTAAGCCTAGGGCTGCATTCTGGTGTATTAGCTCCAGGTTGATAAGGACTGTTAGGACCTCCTTTGGGGATTTTTACATTTAAAGGCTCCATCGGCGTATCGCAAAGCTTTGCGCGTGAAAAGATTACAGCAGATTAACCTACGCTAGGTTAATGTAAAGTGTAAATAAGTTGACTTGAAATGCCAGGTACTGATAGTATTTAACCTCAATCACTGTACACACTTGTTTGTTAGCACAGGCACACAGACGAGATGCCGGAATGAATTAATATAAGAATAAACAAATATCGCTTAAGAAGGTGAAACCTAGCCGCTGAGATGACAGTTTGAAAATAAATTTATAAGTTATCTTAGTTCACACGATAAGTCGGTCACGTGTTGTAATTTTAACAAAAATCAATTAGGCTGTTATTAAAATTACAACACAACAACTCGAACTCGGGCCCACTCGGGGACACTCAATCAGTCGCAGTCGACACGGAATTTACAGAAACAATGAAACAAAACACTGAACGCCCACGCTGGGAGCTGGGACACTGAAATTAGTGGAATTGAAACAAGAAAGATTGGGAAGCTTGGAGCATGGATTATAAAATCTTCTATATATATAAAATCCAATGTATGTTTGTATATTTGTATGTTTGTCCTTTATGGACTCCAAAATCGCTTGACAGATTGTAATGAAACTTTCAGGCATTATTAAGCATTATTCAAGGATGGTTTGTGTGAAGTTTGGTGCAGATCCGTCAATAGGGCTCCGCCCCAGTTGCTCTGGAGTTTCCCATGTTAACCTTATGAGTATTCATATTTAAATGGAATTAAAGAATCTTAACAAATGGTGCAACTAAACAATTTGATGCTGTGATGTTCAATAGCATTAAAAAGTTAATAGGTTTACCAACAGGATGCAGCACTATATTTATTTTTTATTTATGAGAACAGCTAATTTGCAACCAAAAGGTGAGTGAGCGTAGCGAACGAACTTCAACCTGGAGGTGAGTTAGCGTAGCGAACGAACTAACCTGAAGGCAAGTGAGCGCAGCGAACGAGCTCCAACCTAAAGGTGAGTGAGCGTAGCGAACGAACTTCAACCAGGACGTGATTGAGCCATGCGAACGAGCTCATCTTGAAAATGAACGAGCATGTGACATAAAACCACAATAGGACAGGACGACGTCCGTCGGGCCAGCTAGTAATATATATTTGGGATAGGATTGTAATCACCGCCGCCTTTAACCACCTTTAACTCCATTGTAATGGGTTGGTTTTGTCGGTTACTTGCACAGGCTGAAATGAAATTACACTTCTCAAATTTCGAGGATTTCGTGCAGCTGGTCATTTTCTGGTGTACTGGGACGGAATATGCAAGATCTGAAGCATAGGTCTAACGTGCAATATTTAAAATCAATCATTTAAATGTTTAATGAAACTCAATGATTAAAGATTATCAAAGAATCAAAATTTTAAAATGTATTTTTTTCTATGTCTTAGTCTACTTAACCAGCCAAGGAAAATGAATATTACGTCTTTTTAAAATGTGAATTTCATGTCCGGTTACGCAGAGTAGTGATGCTCCGGTGCTGTCGATCAAATATCAAAATTGTTTGAGTGTTTAACAGTTTAGATTGTGCCAGTGATGACAAATGGCGTGTTGTATCAAGACCCCACTAGAAAAACGTTGTATGTAAATGTGACAGTAAAAAATACCCGAAATGTACGTTTGTCTGTAGGAGTAAAATAATATCATTTTATCTAATGAAACGATACCGCGAATAAAACATACACCGCATATACAAATTCCTTCATTCTAAAGTATCGGTTTTCAGAATTAGCACGAGTGTGGAGGAAGGAAAATATAACCACGAGTGTGTTTATAAACATAAGTTTACACACTACTTTTTGATTATTGAAAGCTGGATCCAGCTCTCTTTGACCATTATAAAAATTCTTTGTTCTGACAGAGAGTGATTTCAATTATTACAAACCACTTTATTCATTGGGGATTTTCATTCCAAACTCATATTATCCATTCATATTTGAGTGCACCTTATAATCTCGCTTATCGCAGTTGAGCCATTATCCCATAATTAATTGTCATAAAAAATAAATACAAAAATAGTATTTTCCCATTTAGTATAAAATATATATATACAATATGCTAATAAAAATATATATATGCTATATGTACAATAGCATTAAACGATTGTATAGGCATTGAACATGGATTGTGTCAATTTGTTTACTCGTCACCAAGGAAACGAAAACAAATCAGATGTGACTCTACATAACCACGCTCACTTCTTACGGCTTCTTCTAAGTTTTGTCATAATCTATGCAATGGCTAAACCAACTACTATTAAAGATGCTATTAAAAAATTCGAGGATAAATTCAAAGTAAACGCGGCTGACTCTAAAGAAGTTGCCCTTCAGTTCCAGTGGTTACCGATAGAAAAGATGGACAATTCACTCGGCCAGTTAGTGAAGTGCGAAAAGCTGTCTTTGTCAACAAACATGATTGAAAAAATTGCTGGCCTCGGAGGCTTGAGGAATTTGAAAGTGCTATCTCTAGGAAGGAATTATATAAAAGCTTTTTCTGGACTGGAACCTGTTGGGGAGACCTTGGAAGAGTTGTGGATATCGTACAACTTGATAGAGAAGATGAAAGGTGTCGGTGTGTTGAGGAAGTTGAAGGTGCTGTATATGTCGAACAATCTGGTCAAAGATTGGGCAGAGTTTAACAAGCTGCAAGAGTGTCCAGCTTTGATAGACTTGCTGTTTGTTGGCAACCCACTCTGTGACACTGGCGACGAGGGGACGTTCCGCGCAGAGGCCATCAAAAGACTACCTAACCTTAAAAAACTTGACGGCGAACCGGTTATAACTGAAATTGTGTGAGTTTAAACGAAAGCTTAACAGTAGAGTACTGCACTAATATATTTATGAATTGTTAAAATAATAGTGAGATCTTAAATAACGGATCAAATGTTTTTGTAGTGTTTCTGAAATTAAATATCGTTGTGCACATGATACGATACATTTAGCTTTCCTACACTTGTTTTTTTTTAATAGACGTAAAGAATCATAATATTGTTGAACATTGTTTTCGTTTTAAAATAAGTTTTACTTTTAAAGTAAACAGGTAACTTGATGTGTCATAAGTTAATGATGCGACATTTGAATCAAATATAACAATGTTTGCTTTATTAATTAACAATAGTTAGTTATTCCTATAATTGTTTTAATTAACCAATTTAAGGACGTAAGATAGTAGCATAGATAAAACTAGGAGTACTGTATGTTTTATCTATGATAATAGGTACTGTATGGTTTTAGTCATTTTCGTAGCTGTACTAACGTGTTATAGCTTAGCTAAGGTTGGACGTCTTAATAGTAGCCTACCAGTACCATCTAAAGTAAAAAGAGATTAATTGAATGATAACATAATAAAAGTTATGGTTAGATAATTAGCATAACGATAACGGCCCTTTGTTGTTTATCGATTCCGCTAAATTAACCATCGTAAATCAATTGTTTGTTGCCTATTCTTTTCATAAAATTCTGGCAGTTATTTGTATAGACCTGCATTATATAAGAATACAGTACGTTATTTTAAACTACTATTTATAAAATGTACCTTACAATAATGATATATGGTTTATTTAGAAACGTGGTACAGTTTACAGTATACGATATAGCGATATGATAATTTATAAGAACGCTGTTGATATGATTGATGAAATATTCATGAACTCATATTAATTGTCCCCACAAGTATTGTTGTCAGAACATAGGGGTTCGAAACGTTGCGGAGAATTTTTATGGTATTGGCTTTGACTTTGGATACCATAACTTTAGCGAATTTCCTATAAAGAATAAGCATCACCTACCGTAGGTCTGATTTAAGTATTCTTCAATTGGAAAAATTTGTTACGTATCCAGAAGAGATATTTTAACTAACTTCCCTATCCAAAAAAGAGCAGGAATAGTTTTAATAATTTTTAATTGGATCGCACTAGAGACATGAGTTGTCTCATAGGCATAAATAATTAATCATGTTCCAAGTTGGGGTTTGAAAGATTGAAACACACACATACAATTATAATATAAATAAGCTTTATTATTTCCCCTCTACATAACCGATCGGCACTAATACTTCTTGCTTTAAATAGCTGCTGATGAACTTCTTACCAAGCTTTTCAATTGTGGATTTGAAGGCGGGGAAAACTTCATTGTAAAATATCTCCCAGAAAGAGTTGACCATTGTAATCACGCTCTTACCTGTACCACAAAATACAAGCTTTTAGATTATATCTTTTTTGGATTTATAACCAGTTGAATTAAATCCGTAATTAAATTTTACCATGGAGCTTTTGAGAGGGGTGTTAGTATTACATCCCAATGAGATGACTTTAATATTTGTAATTCAAATAACAAAATGGTTCTTTAACACCACTGACTTTAACCAGAGGCATAGACTAACCAACACAAGGGAGTATGTTTTATGCCAGAGGTTTACGTGTGTTCAATGTTGGTAACGTTTAGAGTGCACTGACGTTGCCTACATGTTTCTCGAATCGCGGTCTTCTGGTAACGACCGTGTCAAAATCAACGAATCACTACCCACATTCTCCGACGTTTCGGCCTTGATATCGGCACCATCCTCATGGCGACATGACTCCGAACAGATGACAAATCAACTTCAATCAATACGTCAGTGAGTGGGGGTAGTTGTTCATTGATTTTGACACGGTCGGTACCAGAAGACCACGATTCTAGAATAGGTGACCGTGGAAGCTTATCCAGGAATATTAAATGTTTCTCTTTCCATTTAGAGTAGATTTTACTCTAAGTTTTACTTGTTATAGGCTAATACCAGAGAAAAAGTGACCAATCACTTATATTTACATCCTTTTGCTGGGTTAACATAACAAAATACTAGCTGTTCCCACGCAGCATTTTGCGGTTCAATTTAAAATAATAAAACTCCTAAAATACAAACATTTTGAATTTTTAATTTAAAAGTAAAATTAGTGACTACACGATTAGTGATTGCAGACCGATAGCCGACATTAAACTTATCATTTTGAGATTTTTATATCATCTATATTTTGTGTTTAGCCAGAGTATACCCCTCTTTTTATTTCTACAAACTGGTACCGGTACAACAAAGTCCTGAGAAGCATGGGTGGGATCATAATTATTATCTTCGAGGGCATGGGAATGATACTCTTTAATGTCTATATAAGCATCTAAAAGAATATCAAAGTGTCCTCCTTCCTGTAAATATAAGGTTTCGAATTGTAGGACCTTGTACATATACTACAACATGATTAAAATCTACTACATGAACTCTAAAAGTGAATTCGGGAAACAATTTGTTTAAACAAAATAACTCAATGTGTCCAGCATATTCATACTCACGTGAAATCGAACTATTCTTCTTTGGACGATATAGGAAGTAGGCTACAGTGACCAACAATAAATTCCTCATATGGCAAAAAAACTATTTTACAACATTCTGCCTTAGGTCATAATGTCTGCATTGTTTTAATAAATAGGATGTTAAATGTCAAGAAACAAAATGTAGACAGCATAATTCCATCTACATAAACTGTACGGAACTAACTTTAACAAAAAATGTCTTCAGTTTCAGTTTAGCTTATTCTACAGGAGGCTGATCACTCTATAAGGGAGTGCAGTATGTTTAATCTATGATATACCATAGATTGCACATACTCCATTGAATATACTTACTAAGCTTTGGATCGTTCTTTATTACATCGCTAGCCTCTAACTGGAAATGCCCAACTTCTGGCTGTTCAACTGTCAGAATGTCCAGAACAGGTTGATAAGTGGCGCCTTTTTTTACTAGTTTTCCTCGGGCAAATAATTTTACTTTCACGTTTCCTGAAAACATACTCTTCATATTTCAATAATGTACTAAAATGGTTTGTTCATAAGTTTTATGTTGAAATTATATTCTTTTAGTGCCATGCAATTAATTACACTAAATTTACAAATTGTTAAATGAGCAGAGTACTCGGCCAAAGGTACGATGATAAATAGGCCTACAACAGCAATTTATGTAAAATTACGAAAGTTGATCAGTTTAAGCTGCACAGTTGCCTAAAGGTTCCTTTTTTGTTAATATTCTATTACTTATTAGCAGCCTTATTCTATTACTGTGTCTAAGGAACATGTCGGCCTTAGTCAGTAACAAGACTACAAGATCGCGCCACTCATCCTACACTCATCTCCATTCATACTTGGCATAAAATAGCTTACATTCGTATGGTCGCCATTTCAGAATAAAGTATTAGAGTGAATTAAATATAAGTGCCATTTCAAAATAAGTTAATTAATGTAGCCTATAACACATGTATTATACTATCTTATTTTTATTCTCACATCGTTTGATTATATTACACATCATTTACCTCTTTGCACATCAACTCTTTAATTTTGTTTCCATTGGCATTGGGTTCTTTCTACACTTGTTCTGTTCATTTTGCGTTGACGATCTTAGAACAAGAAATTTTGTATCAATCTCAATTATGCACTTTCTTACAGCCAAAACAGCAACGATTCTGTTTAAATTACCTTTAACAGGTACTGTAAAGATACTTAAGATTACACCTTAAATGAGGTAATGTAATCTTTGTTAGAACTCTATGGCTATATGGTGTTCTTACTCAGAGTAACTTTGTAGCTCCCGGCGTCTGCTAAAGTGTATCCCATAGCCTTCAAGCTTGATTTCTCGAAATTTCCTTCTAGAGTTAGAGAAGGATGGAATGTGTGGACCGCTAGAACTATTTGTTTCTTATCTTGACTTTCCTTCCCGACGTTGGTCCTATATGAGAAATATACTCCTGTGATTATGAAAAAGATCGGATATGTGGAATCTTGACTATCAACAATACCATATAAGCCTACATATTTTACAAATGCATTTCTTAAGTAGACAATCTATGGCTTCGTTACATCAAAACGTATAGCCTATAAATCTGCACTAAGACAATGCTTGTACCCAAAAGCAAGGAAAACCAACTATCCTCTCAAATAAAATAACAAATATAAAGTACTTACTGGAATTTTGAAATTTTCGTATTAGCCAATCCTTTGAGGACGACATGTTTAACGTCTATTTTGCCCTTGGCCATTGCAGAATTAAACTTCAGTCTCATACTTGGTGCCTCAAACGGATCTAGTGGAGGGATCTTCGCCTCAGGAATACCCTCTTAAAATAAATACACAATAGGAAATATTTATTTAGTTTGAGCAAGGAGATACACTTAAAATACTATATTACAGTACCAATTTATGATAGGTAATCAGAAATATAATCGTTCTGTCACCTATAGTGTAATAGTTTTGTTTCTGAAATACATGTTTTTAGGTGAGGTGTTATTTATTCACAAACATTATTGTGGGTTTCATTCTCTTTTATTTTTGCCAGCATGTCCAGGACATCACTGGACATCCTTATTTTTGTCAGTTGTGGTTAGGCTTTCGACCCGCGTGCGGGATAACAAAATAGTATTTTTCAACCCTGAGGAAGTGGGAAGTTTTTTAAGTACCGCGAAACGTCGGACTTTTGATGCCATGGACGATTTCGTGTTGTGTGTGTGTGTGCTTTGACAAGTCCTGAACATCACTGACAAAAATAAAGGTGAGTGAAGCCCACAATAATCTTCGTGAATTAGACCAGGCCGTGGTTGGGGTTGAGTATATGCAAAATTATTCGGACGCACTTTCTCTTTTGATTGTTGTTAAGGACACTTTGGACAGTAAAGCTAGGCGCCCACCGGGCAACTCAGCGGGTGACGCGGCGCGGCGCGGCACGGCGCGACGCGGAGAAAAACTTCCGTCCGCTTCTCCAGGGTTCGCGCCCACCAAGCAACTCTAGCGGAAGCGCGGGGCAGCGCGGAGAATTATTCTTTTGGAGGGGATGCACAGTGCACTTCGATTCGGACCCGAACACTCCCGAAGGGCTCACGATACTTTCCGAAAACACCCGAATGAGCGGCAGACGAGAGGCAGACGCCGTTTCCGTGCCTCTACCCCGCGCCCACCAGGCAACTCAACGGAGGCGCCGCAACACGAGAGGAA